GATATTATGCAAGGAGTTACTTGCAGACGGGCCAGAATAAAGGCTAGTTGGTTTCTCGTCAAAGAATCGGGGCAAGCGGCGAAGCACTTGAAAACAAGTTCCGAATCTGCAAGTTGCAGCGCTACCAAAATTGCCCTCGTGTACTCATTAAATTTTAGGTATTGCTCCGTAGCAAATTCCAATATTTGTCTTCTTTCTATCTCCTCGCTGAATTAAAAATACGTGTAGTTTAATAAATAAATCAAACATGCGAAGTGGATTAGGCCGTTTGTTGAATAGCGAATAGCTTAATATTTTCAATATATTTCATTTTAAAAAATAAAGCTGTGTTTATATTACAAACATTAAGTTGTAAAGCTTCGAAAGATTATATTTTGTTTATAAATGGATTTATATTTCAAATTGTGTTCGACATAACAATTTATATTTTTAAAAATCTATTAGATTTGCTCTTATTTAAAAAAAAAAATGAGATCGATACACTTTTAATTATAACAATGTCAACCAGTGAATAATACCTGTAAGCCGCGCAGCTAATTAAATAATAGCACACACGCGCGAAGTTTGTAGGCTCCAGGTATTCCGCGAGAAAATTCAGCTCGTCGATTTCCAAGCATAAATCGCACGCTTGTATTTCCGCATTGTGTCTCGTGTCGAACGCTATGATGCTCTTGATCAAGGGTGTAAGACGCTTTCTAATACAAGAAATGTGCCACGTTAGTGTATTTTACATTGTTCTCATTACAACGTCTCTCGATGTTGATGTAAATGTAAAACATTAGGAATACGTAATAAGGAAGTGAGATATCTAAATTTCTACCACAGATATTACCACGTCATTGTAAACCGTTTTATTTGTGTAATCATATATTTTTAAATATAACATACATATTATAAAAACAATAATAAATAATGTAAAGGAACTCTTAGTTTAAAACAAATGGTAAATTAAAAAGGCAAATTAAGAGTCAAGAATTAAAAAATTTTTTCTTTAAATGAAGTAGTCAAAACATAAAGTAAACTAAGATAATTAAAATAATCGAAACTAGTCAAGTTATGGATTTGAAGATCTACGATTTTTCGATATTGTGAAGTTACTTTTTTAATTCTTTTTTAAATGCTATGTTTTTAGCGTTTTCTGACGATTGGATATTTATTTTATGTTTCGACTACTTCATTTAAAGAAAAAATTTTGTAATTCTTGACTCTTAATTTGTCTTTTTAATTTACCATACATATTACACTTTTATACTTATAAATTATATTTCACCGGATCTCACGCTCCTCTTTGACCGGCGCATTCGTCCATTCATCGACGATCTCCGCCTCGAGTTGTCGCACGTATTCATGGCCCCATTCTCCGGGATTATCCACAGCTCCTTTGATACAAAAATTCAGACAGTCCCTGGATTCCGGAGTAGCTCCAGCGAGAGCGAGTACACTCAGAATTTCTGCAAAACGTATCTTCGCCTCGTCCCTTTGGAGTCCTTCGTATGCGCTGCGCAAGCTCGGGTAAAAATTTCGCAAATATTTGAGAGGCTTCGGTACGGATGTCATCGAAGTCGTGGATGTACGTATTAACATTCTCAGATGATTCAATGACAGCAACATAGCTATTTCATCTTTACCCTGATATGAAAATTACATACATATTCATGGAATCCAATTCCTTTATTTCTAAGAGCCTTTTTAATTATTAAAGAGAGAGTTAATAAACTTTAAATATATTTTTCAATGGTTTGTTTTTTCTTCTAAGCCGAAACTGTCAAGATTTATTTACTTGTAATACATCAACTGCTTGTAGCAATTCTTCCTGTAATCTCTTATCTTCTTCGTTCTACATAAAAATGCAAAATTATATGCTCATACATATTCCACCATTTTTAATAAAGATTGATATCTAAATTTATAAGCATTATTTCTTTTAAACTAATATTTTAATATATTTTCCAATTTTTTGCCAGTGTTATACACTTACCATATCATTTTCTTTATCTTGATTACGTTTATTCATCATTCTCACCAATATTCTCTTTATGTCAAACAAATATTTTGTCACGATTCAATAAAATTGAACGATTCAAAAAGCTTTAATTAATATATTGTCAAATAAATTTTCATATCCGTCATATGCAACGTACGGCTTTTGTTTCATTATTTTTCGAGAACCGATATATGTGGCGACGATTATTTATAAGTTCGTAAAACCGTTGCTATTTCTACTAAAGAATTTGGCTGAAACTAGAGAGCCACTCTAACTGAAACCAGTTTTAAGATATGAAATGATTCAATAAACATATACCGAAAATTAATTCTTTGTTTATGATATATTTTTAATCAAAATTTGTTTGTGACACAAATAAAAAGGTTAGATGATGTTTGTCTAGAAAATTGTTCATATAGTCTTACAAGTTATAATTATCTATTAATTAAAAGCAGATTGAAAACAATTCAATTTTATTTTATTGATGCTCTACCAATTCTTTCATTTCTTGTAGTATATTTATATTTACTTTATGTTAAATAGGCGAGTTTTGTAATTTATCAATTAATTAATCAAAGTAAAGTTGTATTTGCATATAAATTATTAATTAATTGATAAATTAATTAATAATTTATATGCAAATACAACTTTATTTTGTAAAAGCTACATTTGTACATATAATATAAATAATCAATATAAATAATCAATCAATGAATTAAAAAAGTTCTCTTAACTCTTCAGTAGAAATCCTTTTTCGAAAAAAATAAAATGTTTCCTCCCGTACTATTGACACATCTTGAAAAAAATTTTTTTCAAATAAATTCATATTATTTTCTTAAAATTAATTTATATTCTTTATTTTATAGATTAAGAAGATATATTTACAGGGTGTTAGTTTAAGTCTGTTGCCATACTCAACAGAGCGATTCTTTGGTTTATTTCAGGTAAAAAAGTCTATATAAACATGTATCCTAAACGGCTTAGTTTCCGAAATACAGGTGAATGTTCGCAAATGTTTGACGAAACGGTAAATTGCGTTGGAGATATCTTCCTGCATAAATATGCCTTGCTTCACGTGAGTTACTATTCGCACAAACAATGTGACAAAGTCAAAGTCAAAGTCACAAAATCAAAAATAGACTTCAGTCCTGATGTTGCTGCGGGTCAGGTTTGATGGATGTATCATGGCGCAAGATGGACATTTTCAACAATTCATCTAATTGTTTTATTTCATCAGAAGAACTGTAGCCTATTTTTGTTTTTCTTATTACTACACGTTTAAATTTTTCCATTTCGGAAACTAAGCCGTTTAGGACACATGTTTATATATGGACTTGTTTACTTGAAAATAAATCAAAGAATCGCTCTGTTGAGTATGTGGCAATATACTTTACTAACACCCTGTATATATATAACATTATCAATGTGATAATTTAGGAAAATGGGAAAGAATTTTTGTTTGATATATAAAACTGCAATAAATGTATATACATTATTTTAAAACATAATTATAAATTTATTTATATAATAATTATGTACAAAATATGTTTCTGATAAGGCTCAACAAATTTAAAATTATGAAAAATAAAAGGGCTACGAGTCAAAAGTGTCGTTATAATATAATAATTGTTAGTAAATAAAAATTGTCATTAAAAATTATAACTAAATGACAATTTTTATTTACTAACAATTATCATATTATAACGACACTTTTGGCTCGTAGCCCTTTTCTTTTTCGTAAATACAAAATACGTCATTAGTATTAAAATATGTACAACATGGAATGATAATTGATATGTAGCAGAATATAACACTGCTCTTGAATAAAATCCGCTACTTTCAAAATTGATTTCTTATATTCGCATAAATTCGAACTTCTTAATGCGAAGGGCAAAAGGAACCTTTACAGCCGTTCATTATTTATTAATATAGTAAAGCGCTGTGTATAAAAGATTATTTCAACACGTTTAATCAATATATTTATGTACACTATAAATTGCTTATAAAAGTCTTATTTGTTGATCATAACGTGTATGGACAACGAGTGCATTATTAATTGTTAAATTGAATCGCTATATAATTATAATTTCCATTATTAAATCGTCGTCTGCCAAATTTTGAAAGCAGTATGACAAAGAATAAAATTTTTATATTAAAATTTGTAATTATATACTGAAACAATATAAAATTAAAAATCATTTATCATATTTCTCTTTAATTCAAGAAAAAAAAATGCATTGTGCACTTAAAAGTAGTACTCTTATTAAAATAATATTATAACTTATATAATAACTTAATGTAAATTAACTAATAATACAATGTTTGAATATTACTCCTAAAAATTATTTTGTTCGCGTAAATATAATAATATTCATTCTCTCTCTCTATACAAATTATATGATATTTTATAAATAACTAAATATACTCCGACTAATATTCCGATACAGTAGCTTTTCGTTGTTGTCAATATTTATTAAAAACAACAAAGTCACCTCATACCTATTTCTCTTCATATAAATTTATCAATTGACAGTTTTAACGATTTCAAGTTTTAATAATAATTGATGTGAAATTTCCTTTTAAACTTCGATATTTCTCTGTTATTAATATTTACGTTCTCTATGTAGACGCGTTATACAAAATGACTAGTCTCTCATCCGTGAACGAGAAATACGCTGCGAAATTAATATTTTGGTTTTTCGTTCGCTTCACACTACGTCTACAATCATGTAATACTAGAAAAATTTCGATACGATATATTATATAATAGGAAAGTCATATTGCTGCTCCATTACGTTTCTTAATCACGGATCTGACAGGAACTTGAAAACGTAGAAACATTTAATGACACATTACAAATTTCTTCACGCTTGGAAAAACGAAGTTTTTCGAACAATGATACACATACCAAAGTATATCATTAACATACAACTTATAAATATATATAATAAATCATAACTTACGTATAAATATACATAATATGATACTTTCATTATATACATATACAACTGTGCTGTGTTAGATGTTACATAAATGTGTTTGGAAGACGAAGTATTTTTGGTCCCATGTAGAAAACCGTATTAGCGTGTATGTGAGCAAAAATAGAGTCTATCCTTCGTTACACTTTCTCTAGATATCCTGAACATTTTATTTAAATTAGGCCATCATTCATGCGTTAATCGTTTTCCATTTTTCTTTATAATTCAAGCGACATTAAGATAAAAGATTGAATGGTGATTGCTTAAAAAATATTTCTTTTTTACCCATAGTATCTATATGTGTACAAATTTGGCAGTAGAATAGGCACATATATTATCCGCGTTTCTGATAATCTTACTTGATTCCTCTTTTCTACAAAAGACATCAAATTCCTAAATATGTCATAAAAATGTAAAACTTTACTTATTTTTTAAAAAATATCTAATCTCTTCTTGAATTCATCGAGTGTTCAGCATATACCGTCAAAATAATCGTACGCGAGTGATCTCGTCTCACTTTTTCAACCCGTTCTCGACGCTTGCAGTCGAAGTCACTCCGTTAAGTTCGTCCTGAATTTGCTGAAGTGTCTTGCCTTTCGTTTCGGGCAGTAAGAATACCGTATAGAGGATACTGACAAAGCAGAATCCCGCGAATAACCAGAAGTTCACGTAATTGCCTAATGCCTCCTGGAGGTTACTGACGAACTTGGTAAGGAGGAAGGCCAGGAACCAGCAGACGGAAACCGTTATACCGGAAGCCTTGGCCTTGACATTCGGATCGAACATTTCGCCCATCACCGCCCACGGAAGAGGACCCCAGCCCAAACAGTATGTGGCAATGAAGATGACGAGGGAGACCGTCGGCAACCAGGATATCTGTTCCACGACGTCATCCGCGTGCTGTACTTCTTTCAAGTAGAAATACAAGCCTAGGGCACACTGTAACAAAAATGGTCATATAATAATTACATAATAGAAGCACGAGAACGAAAGTCGAAATTTTTATATATGATAAAAAATTCAATATGCTGCTATATGAATATCAGATGTTTGAAAAATTGTTATTTATAGAGTGGCGCGTCGTTACGAGATTTTTTGGATATTTCTGACAATTTTTGCTATAGGGGAGACTGAAACACCATGGATCACGGGGTACCATGGGCCATTGACTGTTTAGAGAAATCCAGAATGTTTAGGTTGGTATCATATGATTGTTATTTAGTTGCCTATACTATGTATTTCGATAGCAGTGATCCGCTTCCGTTATTTTTCCGTACACATGCCGTTAAAGAATCTCATGGTGCGAAGGTGATTTTACCTCTTACAATTTCTTTTATGTTGTTTCTATATAAAGAATAATATACTTATTACGAGTTATATGCGTAATTCTACACATCTTCCTGCATTTTCTCTGCAGTACAGGTAATCATTTATTGTTTACTTCAATGTTATATTTCACCGTCTTTTATATCAGACACATCGGGGCACCATGGGTCATATACTAACAGGCGTTGAGAGTAATTTGCGTAGCTGTAGAACCGTATAGGCATAAAAAATTATGTAATCGTATTTTACGCGTGTCTTATGATAAAAATGTAATTAGATAAATTTCTTTATACATAATAGTTATTGTATAAACTATGCAAAATTGTCTGGATAGTTTAGATTATTATTAAATGAAATAAAATGAATTAAATTGGGCAATACAAATTCTTTTATATTCTTTCAGAAAACACGATAAAAATGGTTAGAAAATATATGTAAAAAAAGCCCGGGCACGAGTCATTTCTATAAATTTCTTTTTCGATTTTTATTTAAAAAACAAATCAATATTTATGAAAAATACTTAATAAATCTTAAAATATATATTATCTCTTAATTATATAAAAAAGTTGAGACCAAAAATCTTACATTTTAATGTATTTTTTACTGTTTGAATTTTTGTGATCCATGGTGCCCCGGTCTTCCCTATATTAAACTGTCGAAGTACTAAACTGCTTTCTCAGTACTTTCAAAGTACTAAATTCGAGTAAACTTGCAATGGCAAAACGAAAAAAGGAAACTCGCGTTTAGTAAAAATCCTAGAATACAACGATTAGAATTTTCTCAATTTATTTTAGTCACCGTGTTATCATATACGCGCGTCTATCTCCTATCATAAATTATGTAATCATGCACGTACAATCTCGTGGAAGTCCTCACGCTTTGTGTGCACTGAATTGAATCCGATGCATTCCATCGTATTTCATCGGAATGCGTAATGACGATCCGTACATATAGTAATGCTTAACCTTCCTCTTCTCGAGGACATTATACATCCTCGTGATTCGTTGTTGCATTTCCTGCATTGTACTTTACCGCGCCTCTTTATAAATATCCGATCTATTAAGAGGATTGTGCAAGCTCCAAATGGCGATAACAGGTATCAACTCTGTGTCGAATAATTAAGTCATTCGCCCCGAGAATTTGCCTGAAGGCGAGATGCATGATAAAAGAAGTTAAATACCGCAACAAGTGTAATTATGCATGCCGATCGTAAACTCACGATCGAGAAATGCAATTTAATGATGATCTAAACGTAATTCATGTACATGAAAATGAATCGCACGATAATTCACTTTAGTCATCTATTATAGAAATTATTGTAGACAAGAATTATTTGTTGGGTATAACTGTTAATGTCAAATTAATACATAATATCACTAAACAAGATTGACATTTTTATCAGTTTTCTCTTATTTGAATTTTATTATATAACGCTCCTTTTATAAGCGTTGTGATTATGACATCAAAGAAGATGAATTAAAACAAACATTACATAATAACATTCATTTTTAATTCATCTCATCAAATATCGTCATAATTATAATGTTTATAAAAAGCAGCCTTGCATTTTATAAAATTCAAATGGAAAAAACAGATAAAAATGACAATTTTGTTTCGTAATATTAATTTGTATATGGTATCTGATTCAAAATTTAATTGCAGTTCATATTCACTGATTAAATACGATTCAACAGATAGTCGTGTTTTTTGGAATAAAATTTATCTTTATACTTTAAAGATTTTAATCTGAATTCCTTAAGATTCCTTTGAAATTTTAATCAACTGCAACGCATGTCCACTCTAACAAACTCAGATTCGTTATCGCAGGGCAACAAAGTTACAATTCGTTCTATAAAACAGAAAGCAAACTTTACGGGTAACCGCGTCTATCGCTTCATGAATAGGCTAATTTTGGACACGCTTTTCATGCAAATTTTCGAATCAATCTGGTATTCATCAAAAGAGAGTAGTATGAAAATTTAATAAAAGTTTCAATGCAAGATTGAATATTAGGTCCCGCATCATTGATTCTCTGAACTATCATATACCTTCAAACTAATTGTAAGTGAATCTAATTATTACAGTAAAATCCTCAACGTTTTATAAATGACTACAATCGGCTTCTTAAAAGCAAGAGGATCGAAAAGATAAAACAAGAATGTATTATTTTGTATAATAATATATTCTTGTGTAGCTTACAATATCTTTTAACTTCGTGCTTATTTAAAAATACTTTGGCACTATAATTGATTTCTACTAACTTTGATCTTTAGTTAATGAGACAATACATATATATCATCAAAGACAAGAAAAGATTTAGCTATTCAAAGTCTTTTCTAATCAAGTCTAAAATCATCTTTGATTCTTTCTCTCTCATAATTGAATTAAATATTATATTCCAGATTTATACATAAAATTTATTTATTTATTTGTTTTTACGGCTGTATTTTTTTAAATTCAATTGACTAATTAAGTTGATTACTTTGAGATTAAATCTGAAGACAATTACTCACCAAACTGACTGTCTCTCCGATGCCGGAGATAACGAGAAGCATCCTTCTACCTGACCTGTCGACAACTACAGGTGTCACCGCTGACGCTAACACTTGCACCACTCCAATGATAATCGGTGCTACATCTGTTGGCACAGCACCTCCAGCAGCCATGAAAATATTCTGCATATAGAACAGCACGACATTGATACCGGTAAACTGCTGAAAGGAAACCAAGGCACAAGTATGGAGCAGTGCCTTGAAGTTCGCCTTCACCTTGAACAGATCCGAGATGCTAACTTGATTCTTAAAAGCCTCGTCGAGTATCGCCTGAAAAAATCGAAACCGAGAGACAAATTTATTAGACGATAAATATTAAAATTCGAACATAACAATCTATCTAGAATGTTCTAAAATAATGAGATAGTTTTATTTAAAAAATGTCAAATAATGCTGAAGCAAAATTGCCATTCACTTAGAATTTGAGCATCTATGTTCCTCGGTTCAGTGATAATTATTTTTGTAATTATATTTTGAAACTTTCGACGCTCGAACAATAGCTGTGCTGTAACCTATAACTACGTAAGATTGGAAGAACATCGGACAATTTTGTGAAACTTTACATTGTAGGAAGGGATATTATTTGCAAGCCAATCATAATTGTCCATTACGACTGTGCGATATTGTCGTTTAGGATCAAAGAACGGCCTCAGCTATGACCTCGTTTATCTAAACTGATCTGACGGACAATGTATGCTCGGACATGTGTCTAGCAATGATTGAATACGTGCTTGCAACGGTGCATTCGCGATCACCTTGTCAGTCGAGCGACCCGCTGAGAAATCAATGAAGCCATAAACGATCGCGAATGGAAGTAGCATTTTTTATTAGAATAATATATATATATTAACCGCATATTTACAATAATTTATTTTCTCGAGAGAGATTTTTTATAAAATACTTTATAGAATATCCCAACAGTTTGAATTTTTTGACAAAAAATTAATACATAGTCAACTGAGATTAAAATTGATTCTCCTGATCTTCAAAAATCTTAAGAGATTCTGAGATTCTTTTAGAACCGACGATTTTATAAAAGAGAAACTTATATCTCGCACAATGGCTTACCTGTATTTCATCAGCCTCCTTCTGAACAGCCGCTTTGGATTTGCTTCGGAGCTTCGCCAGAGATGCGATCGCTTCATCTCTGCGGCCCTGACCAAGCAGGAAGTACGGAGATTCCGGCATCATAATAAAGGAGAAGAAGAAAATTATCGGTATGATCCCACAGAGAATCCAAAAAACGGTGTAACTAACAAACGGTCCAATAGAATAGGCGTATAAGAAACCGATCACGATAAAGAGCTGAAGAAAAGAGCCCAACGCTCCTCTGATTGACATCTGAAAAGTTACGTGAATTCGTTATTATGTGTATAATGACCAATTTAATTATTAAAAATTGAAATGTAAAAACGAGACTAATGAGAGTTAAAGTGCGATGATAAGAATATTAGTTAATTTATGTACCTACAAATATTTTATATTCATATTATAATATTTGGTTAAATATCTTATTTTGCTCTTCGGAGACGTATTCGTATTTTATATTAATATTATTTAACAAATCTCTCATCGGTTTTCGTTTTATATACTTGACTGACCAACATATATCAACTGCGTACAACGCATTATCAAAAATGTAACTGGGAGGAAATACTTATTTCTAGTCCTCTGAGAACGTTTGACCTTTTAATTTATTGCTATGTAGGTAGTTTATAGCAGAGTAGAAATGTTCAATCAAGTAATTAGGGTAAAGAATATTTCTACACAAATTAATTAGCGTTCTAATTATACCGCGCTCTACCCCTCACTGACTCACACTTTAATTTTTAATAATTTTGAAAGTGTTTCAGAATTTTACTTAATTTAAATTTAAATTGTTAAGTTAATTTAAATTTTACTTTATTTTTTAATATTATTTAACGAACAAGAGTTCAAATATAATAATTATTTTATTTGTTTTAGTTATAGAGTCATAGATTCTGCGAAGTAGGACAAATTTTTAAAATCAACAAAAAATGCCTAAATATAATAATACAAAAATTTACACAAAACGTAAAAAATCCTAGAAGACTATGTGTAAGTAATTGCGCTGTTTGTACGTACATATTGCACACATGTGTGCATGCAAAACAAAATTTACCTCGGCAATTTCGCCGCAATACATAGGGAGAATCGTGAATACGACAGACAGAGCCAATCCAAATATTAATCGAGCGACGTAAAGCTGAGCAATGTGACCTGCAGAGGCGACAAGTATCCATCCAATTAAAAACGGCACCACGCAAGATAACAACGCTCGTTTACGGCCCAGTCTGTAGAAATGACGATGGAAAAAGTCAGTTCCCGTTATCTTTGTTTCAGCCATTCAATGTTTGAATTTAATACAGGCTTTTCTACAAGCGGTACAGTAATCATGTCATCTTTGTTTAACACTAGCAAACAACGAAATTGTAATGACTTATACTGTATTACACCTGTATTATCTGTGCTGGGAAAGCACCCTTTATCACTTCACAAAGATTGATTTTTTTCTCTAGTCTCCAACTTATAGTCTCGAAAAGTAGAACGTAGTTACGTAATTGTTTATATATTGCAAAATTACTTGTCCGATTGAATCGCTAATTTATACTTTGAGACCCTCGAGTAAAAATCTGTTCATGCAAGACAAATATGGTGGCAATATTTGATTTTATATTGCAAAGTATATAGAGCTCCATAAGCTTTACATCCTATATATTCTGCAATATATTACAGCAGTTACCGTCTTTTATAAGAAAAATGTGTAACCAGACTGTTAATAAGAGAGAGCGAGAGGGTCTCTAATTTATATAGATAATACCTTTCTCCAAGGTATCCCGCCACGAAGCTGCCGACAATAGGACTGAGGGCCATCAGAGACCCTATCCAGGAACTCTGTTCGCTGGTGATTTTCGATCCCAAAGGTCCGCCATTCTTCTCCAAGAGAGGAAGAACTGGACTTGTCCATCCCATCGTCACACCAGTCGCAAGAACGGACAGGCTGGCTGTAATTTCAAGATGTATGTACAAATGGGAAATAAAAAGGTACACAGATTCGCGTATCTTTTTCGCACGCTCAATATTAATTCCTTAAATGTTTAACGATGACTTTACAATTGAGCGCCTTAATCTATAGCTTTTGAAAGGTAACATCTTATAATCGCTATTTTATCACTTTAATAAGACTTAATAGAACATCCATCTGCCCACAAACAGATTTATATTAAATCGTAGATAAATATGAAAACAAATGATTATACAAGTCCACGCGCAAATATCAGTCATTATCGCGTTTGCCGCATATTTAATAGGTTTGTACTTTCTAAGAAGCTGTTACTTTAGAATTCTTTTTGTCCTATTACTGTTCCCAAAAATTTATGTAATGACAAACTGCTAAGTAAAATTCTAGTAAAAAAGTATAATAAATCATTTCTTTTATCATATTTTTCTTATTAGTAATTTTTCATTTCTCTTAATATAATTATATAAGAATGTTGTGTAACATATTACTGAGTATATCGAAACTTCAAGTATTTTATTTAGATAATTGTTCGCAAAAATTAGGTCTTATGTTTTAGGGGCTGTCCATATATTACGTAAGCAAATTTTTGGTCGTTTTTAACCCCCTCCCTCCCCTATGCAAGCAAGCATAAGGATTTCTGAGACCTCCCTGCTATAATTACGTAAGATTTTTTCGTGCCATGCAAAAAAAAAGCTAATTTGCTAATTGACAGCAATTAGTTTTGACAAGACATTTTCGTCATTTTCGACATTTTCGTCTAAACTAATCGCAACGCAATAATACGATTTTTTTTCAACATATATTAAAAAAATTATATAATTGCATTGAAAAAATTGTGCTAAAACGAACTGTTATTAATATCAGCAATTTAAAAATATTTCTAATCTAAAATCCCTTTATCACGAGAGAGCTGTATATCTATTTTTTTTTCTACAAAACCTAAATTCACACACACAAAGTTATTTAAATGTTTAATGATGGAAGCTGGAAATTTTGTTTTGTCAGAGAAGAGACACTACCTTAGGGAGATATATTTATCTGTTTCGTTACAAAAATCTCAAATTACATTTTTATCAACCGACGAAAAATTGACTTTTCCGAAGGTGTTTTTGTCTCTCGAGATTATAGTAATTCAATCGTGCTAACGTTCGGAACAACTTGTAGGCAATGCTCTGCTGAAACTCTGATGAAACTCGAGTTTCAAAGTGCGCTTTGAAGGCTTTTCCGGTGATAAAGAGGTTTTACATAATTGTGTATTTCAGGTAATACGGTGAGATTCAAGGCCCGCTATGCTTCCGGTTTTACGGAGCGATTGGTACACGTTCGAAACTTACAAAGCAGAGATTTTAACTGCAATGCAGCAGAGAATATCCAGCAGCTGTTGCAGGTAAATTTAATATACGTTTCGAAGGTTAAGTAAAAAATTGTTTTCAATCCATTGCAAAATCCGCAAATATATTAGTATCTAATAATTCTTTCATTATATATATTGAACAAAATAAGTAGCGTTTATATTTGTATTATTACAAAGAAATTCGTACTTATTATCAGTGTACCATTATTTAATAATATTCTATCTCTTTTTTAATTAAACACAAGAAACTTTTAGTTATGCTTTATATTACGAATGTAAAAGAGACGGCGCATTTATATATTTCGCGTATTTATGTGGAAGAAGAAAACTTCGTGTTTACGATCGACACGTCGTTGACCGATGATAATTTTATATTAACGGATAATCTTAATTTATATTCCGTATCACGAATGTGGGAGAGGATGATTTTGTGTCCGGGTGCATAAACATGAATTGAATTATGCGCTGATTTGTCACTTTATTACAAATAGCCGTATGCGGAACCGCGGAAAAATCAACCAGGCGGTTATTATAATGATACACGCCGCGGTATTATCGCAATTTACTTACGTATTTCGCTTACGTAATTTCTCGACGTAAAGCGTCACGTGATTGCGTCGTCGATTGCGCGTCACGGTACTGAAACTAGTATAAAAATGTTTGTCGCGTGTGTAAGAATCGCACGCGCACTTGACATCGAAAATATACAATCTCGCTATTGGTTGCGTTCAGCAGACTCAACCGTTATTGGTATAAATGTTTGTCGCGTGTGTAAGAATCGCACGCGCACTTGACATCGAAAATATACAATCTCGCTAATATTGGTTGCGTTCAGCAGACTCAACCGTTATTGGTATTATTCTTTCAGATCAGCCAATAGCAGCGAGCGCTCACAGATTTGCTCCGCAACGGTTGAGTCTGCTGAAGACGCGACCGTCGTCATAACGTAATGTTAAATTTCTCATTACCGGCACGTACATAAGATTGCACTTCGCGTTTTTACGAAGAAAGAGACAGCTTTGACAGCAATGATCCAATCACGCAGAAGGCAACAAACGTGCGCGCAAACTCTATTTTATTGAATTTCATTAGCGTTGCTTTATTTCATATATTGTCAGTGATTACCTAGTAATATTAAACCCTTGATTAATTGTGTATTCATTAAATACTATATCAATAGCGTCCTACTGGAAACTTGTTATGAAATACTATAAATGTAATATTTAACGAATACACGATTAATCAAGCGTTTAATATTATCAGATGATCACTGACAATGTATGAAATTAGAAAAAAAAGAATTGCATAAAGGAAGACAATAGTATTATACGAGCAAAATTTGTGTAATTACTTGTGTAAAAAGTCGTGGACCTTCCCCGTAGGGCTGTTATTATCATACAAGGACTGTTAAAAATAATCTAACCCAATTCAGTTTTTTTTTTGTGTGGGGCAGCTCTCGCTTCGCGTGGAAAATCGAGGATGCGGTCGAGTTGCCACTACGAATACTTTGAAGCGTTACTTGATTGGTCAATTTGTAAAAGTCTTTCCTTTGATTGGTCAATCAAACGCTTCAAAGCATTCGTAGTTGGCAACTCGACCGCACCCCGAAACCCACGTGCAACAGTACAATTATGAAAGTTGTGCACCCTTAAGCAGGGAGGGAGGAGAGACAGAGTTGCTTCGCGTAGGAGTCGTTCACCCCTAAAGGAGGAGAGGTGGGGTGAGAGTCGCTTCGCGTGAAAGTAATTTTTCAAACTTTTTTGGTTTATAACTTTTTAACGGACAGCGATCGCCACTTAAAACTTGGTGGAGTTATTCAGAGTCACGACCTTGACAACATGTCACAAGGTCAAGGTCATCGAAGGTGGCTCCCCTTTTCTGAATATTCACCAAAATATTTTCTTTGAGACCATAAATTATCTCCAATCCAGTATTGTTTTTCCTCAAACAATTCAATGTGAAACTTCCTAATTATAATTTAAAATTCAAACACGTGCACATCCAAAACGTTTTGATACAAAGACGTCATAAATTGAGATGTCTTTGGTTTTGTTTATAAAGACGTCTTTCTGAGACGAATAATCATGAAAATTTTAAGATAGACGCGTCCTGTAAAACAATCAATATTCTCTGAGTGCGCAATAAATTTGCTTGCGCATCAAAAAGAGTCAACGTCCCATTTTGATAAGCAAGTAAAACACAAATAGAGAGTTTCACACTCATGGTCCTAATCGTCATTATTGCGTGGGGGGCTATCACCTCTCTGTTTCCTCTTGATCTCTTTGCGCGCGACAGTACGCGATTCTTGTATTTCATTAATTACTAATTTTACCGAGTTTAGTAAATTATTTTCTCATTGACTGTGTAACACGAGGTGATAGTAAATATCGATCGCAACGCAATTAATTCGTGCCGAATATTCCCGCGAATATACAGATCCAAATATATAGGTGGGCGTTTATCAATTCGCGATATCAAATACAATCATGTTACGAGATAGAACTGACACACGTGGTATCTCGTTTTCGATGAAAAATCTTTGCGTTTACAATTGTTTTTCCATAACTACATCATCCATCGATCACACCATGCACTTGCTGAACGATTTGACATTTCCCTTATCATTTAACAAACCACGATAAAATTTATCTTATAATTTTAAATCAATTTTAAATCACAAATCATATATGTTATAATTTCAAATCTATGTATAGTTATAGCGGAACTTATGTTTAATTTATCTATTCTATCTTTTTTCACACAAACAAAATTTAAATATCAGATAATTAAAATTGCGAATTAAAATTTACAAATAACGACTTTTAACATTCAACAAAGTTTTTAGTAAGCGATGAAAAATAGTATTATAATGGTAGTGATTATCTTTATGGAAATAATGTACAATAGATGAATCTTTCTCTCTCCCCCCCTCCCTCTCTCTCTCTCTCTCTCTCTCTCTCTCTCTCTCTCAATAAATAAACTTAATTTTATCCTAAAAAATCAAGATAAAATAACATAATTCAATTTCCTTGTGGACTCCAAAATTGAAACCAGGTGAATCCAGTGACGAGAGGCGAGTGAGAGTAGTACAGCGTGTTGTTGTTACGCAAAGTAATAAGAAGTGGTATAAAATAACGTGACCAATAATATTAAATGATATTCTACATTGACATATTTTTATCGAGACAGCAAGTAATCTTTTTCATATATTAATATATAATTATCGTTCTGGTTATGAAAGAATTTCTTTGCCAGTCTTTAAATAGAGATTTAAAATTTTGTCACGATTAAATAAAAAATTGAGTATTTTTAAACGAGGTGGCCATAATCTGGCGAGACTTTCAAAACAAAAATGCTGATATCGAAGACGTACTGCTGAAAACGCAAGGATCGATGCATCTTTGCCCCTGAATGAGATATCGTAGTTGATGTCGATACTGTATCAAGTAGTCAGAGTTCGACGATGACTCGTCGAATGATTGACTGGTACACAATCCTTCTTAGTTTTCTTCATTTTTATTCGTCGATTCAATGAAGCCTGCAATTGTACCAATAGAACGTTCTTTTGTCACGAATTTTTACGTGACAATCTACCTCTTTGTTTACGTGTTCACGAATGTGACGT